CGGCACACCCCTCACGCGTTTCGTGGCCCCATAGGGAGCTCCACCGAAGGTCCCAGTGGGTGTGCCCGCATGCGTCCCGCACAGCCATTTCGGCACACCCCTCACGCGTTTCGTGACCCCTCACACGTTTCGTGGCCCCATAGGGAGCTCCACCGAAGGTCCCAGGGGGTGTGCCCGCATGCGTCCCGCACACCCATTTCGGCACACCCCTCACTCGTTCTGTGGCCCCATAGGGAGCTCCACCGAAGGTCCCAGTGGGTGTGCCCGCATGCGTCCCGCACAGCCATTTCGGCACACCCCTCACACGTTTCGTGGCCCCACAGGGAGCTCCACCGAAGGTCCCAGTGGGTGTGCCCGCATGCGTCCCGCACACCCATTTCGGCACACCCCTCACCTTTCGTGGCCCCATAGGGAGCTCACCGAAGGTCCCAGTGGGTGTGCCCGCATGCGTCCCGCACAGCCATTTCGGCACACCCCTCACACGTTTCGTGGCCCCATAGGGAGCTCCACCGAAGGTCCCAGTGGGTGTGCCCGCATGCGTCCCGCACACCCATTTCGGCACACCCCTCACGCGTTTCGTGGCCCCATAGGGAGCTCCACCGAAGGTCCCAGTGGGTGTGCCCGCATGCGTCCCGGACACCCATTTCGGCACACCCCTCACACGTTTCGTGGCCCCATAGGGAGCTCCACCGAAGGTCCCAGTGGGTGTGCCCGCATGCGTCCCGCACACCCATTTCGGCACACCCCTCACACGTTTCGTGGCCCCATAGGGAGCTCCACCGAAGGTCCCAGTGGGTGTGCCCGCATGCGTCCCGCACACCCATTTCGGCACACCCCTCACACGTTTCGTGGCCCCATAGGGAGCTTCACCGAAGGTCCCAAGGGGTGTGCCCGCATGCGTCCCGCACAGCCATGTCGGCACACCCCTCACACGTTCTGTGGCACCATAGGGAGCTCCACCGAAGGTCCCAGCGGGTGTGCCCGCATGCGTCCCGCACACCCATGTCGGCACACCCCTCACACGTTTCGTGGCCCCATAGGGAGCGCCACCGAAGAAGATATTCACAATTGCGGTACTCACAATTGCATATGGTTGGGTCCTTCGCCAGGATAATTTTTCCCAATGGTTATCCCAAAGTTTGCGCGTTCCTTCAGAAGGGGGGTGGGGGAGGAGCTCCAGACTGGATGGGTATAGGGCGCTTTAGGCCCTCAAAGGCTTCGAAAAGGAAACGCAATAAAAACCCGTTCGGATGTTTTCCAAAGGATTCTTTTCGTGAGGCAATCCAATGTAATCCCTTTGTGCTTTCCCCACGGACTTCTGTTGTGCGACTTTCCACTAGAAGCCTTTTGTTGCGCTTTCCAGAACGGATTCCTGGTGTGAGGCTTTCCAATCGAATCCCTTTGTGACGCTTTCCAATACAATATATTCAATTTGTTGTGTTTTCCAAAGGATTCCTGTTGTGAGGCTTTCCAATAGAATCCTTGTGTGGTGTTTTCCGAAGGATTCCTGTTGTGCGGCAATCATTCCTGGTGTGAGGCTTTCCAATAGAGTCATTTGTGGTTCTTTCCAATCGATAGAATCTTTGCGGTGATTTCTGTAGAATTCCTGTTGTGAGGCTTTCCAATCGAATCCCGTTCTGATGCCTTCCAATCGAATAGAATCCCTGTGTGGTGCTTTCCAGAGGGTTCCTGTTGCGGGGCCTTCAATGGAATCCCTGTGGGGTGCGTTCCACAGGATTCCTGTTGTGAGGCTTTCCAATCGAATCCCTTATGTGGCGTTTTCCAATCCAATCGAATCCCTTTGTGGTGTTTTCCAGAGGGTTCCTGGTGGGGGGGCCTTCCAATAGAACCCTTTGCGACGCTTTCCACGGGGTTCCTGTTGTGATGCAGTCCAATGGGATCCCTTAGTGGTGCTTTTCCCCGAGGGCTCCTGTTGTGCGGTTTTCCAATAGACTCGCGCTGTTGCGCTTTCCAAACAATTCCTGGTGTCAGGCTTTCCAATCGAATCCCTTTCGTGGCGCTTTCCAATCCACTAGAAACCGTTTGTGGCGCTTTCCAAATGATGTTTGTTGTGAGGGTTTCCAATCGAATCCTTTGGTTGTGCTTTCCAAATAATTCCTGCTGCGCAGCAATCCTGGCGTGAGGCTTTCCAATCGAATCCCGTTGTGGTCCTTTCCAAAGGATTCCTGTTGCGAGGCTTTCCAATGGAATCCCTGTGAGGTGCTTTCGAAAGGATTCTTGTTGTGAGGCTTTCCAATCGAATCCTTTTTGTGGTGCTTTCCAAAGAGTTTCTGTTGTTAGTCCTTCCAATAAAAGCCCTTTTGCGAGGTTTACAAAAGGATTCCTGTTGTGATGCAGTTCAAGGGAATCCCTTACTGGTGCGTTTTCCCAAAGGCTCCTCTTGTGCGGCTGTCCAATAGACTCGTTTTGTTGCGCTTTCCAGAAAATTCCTGGTGTGAGGCTTTCGTATCGAATCCTCTTGTGCTGCTTTCCAATCCAATCGGATCCCTTTGTGGTACTTTCCAACTGATGCCTGTTGCGAGGCGTTCCAATCGGATCCTTTGGTTGTGCTTTCCAAATGATTCCTGTTGCAATGCAATCATTCCTGGTGTGCGGCTTTCCAATATAATCATGTTTTGGTGCTTTCCAGAGGATTCCTGTTGTGAGGCTTTCCAATGGAAACCTTTTGTGGCGCTTTCCCTTCCAATCTCATCCCTCTGTGGTGATTTCCAATCATCATCCAACCATCCAAAGAGCGAGGAGGAGGAGAAGGAGGAGGAAACGGGGGGGAGGAGGAGGAGAGAGAGATATAGGCTTCCAGCAAAAATCTCAAAATCGGGGGGGGGCGAACACGAACCGAAATCGTTTCTTCTTCTTCTTCTTCACGCTTGTTCTTCTTGAGTCGGACATCTTCAACGCCCCAAACGCTGGGGCGCGGAGCGCCTGGGAACGCCGACGGAGGCGTTTGCGGGGGGTGCTGGGACCGCCCTGGGCTTCCCCACGACCAACATGGGGCCGAGCGCGCGCAGCACCCAAGCCCTGCCGGCCAATCCTGGCGTGGTTCGAGTACAACTTCAAGCAGAAAGACCGCATCAAGCAGCGCGTACGGGGGGCAGAACGGACGCAGCTTCCCCCGCCCCCCCCCCTCGCGAGGGCAGTCGGGACGGAAGGCGGGAGGAGGAGGAGGAGGAGGAGGAGGAGGAGGAGGAGGAGGAGGGGGAGGAGGAGGAGGAGGAGGAGGAGGAGGAGGAGGAGGCGGGGGTGGAGGCACCACTGTGGGTGGAACACCGACTCGGGCGAGTTGGCCCGAAGCGCTTCGCAGCGCACCCGCACCTGAAGCCGAAGCCAAAGCTGAAGTGCACAGGAAGCACGGGACATGCCCACCACGCAGGTTTGGTTGACAGCACATCATTGAGCGGTGCTGCAGCCTCCCCTGAGCTCAGCCCCCCCCCCCCCCACAAGGCAGTAACGGATATGTCACAGGCGGCCGTACCGACCCTCGCAAAACGACATCTTGCGAGACGACCCCTTCGCCTTGCCCCAAGTCGTGTGCATGCGGACGGATTCGGAGCTTCGAGGGTGAGGGGGTTGTCACGGAAGAGCCTCGTCACCGAAGGGTCGGTTAGGCCTCACCCCGAGTGTGACGAGGGAGGATTTGCTACGACAGTGCTACAGATACGTTCCTGTCGTTTTGTCAGCCTCGAGTGTATCGTTTGAGGCCCACACGCCCACCCCGGAGTGAAGGACCCAGGCGTCCAGCAGTCCGAGTTGTTCGAGGCGTGGGCTCCTGGATCTCTCGACTCTCTTCCCGGAGCAGGCTTTTGGTCCCGATTTCTGACGGTCTCGCGGCCCGAATCTGAGTCCCAGAAGCCAGATCTGGCGACCAACCCGGTGCCTCGATTTCTGTTCGAGGCGCCAGTTTTTTGGCGCTGGCAACTGCCGCTGCAAGAAGATACATCGTGCAGGAGTTTTAGTGGTTGGTATCGCATCCGCCCAGTGATGAGAAGCCAGACTGGCGCTGGCATTCAGTTGACATTGAGGCGCTGGCATTAGACGCCGGGCTGGACTGGCTCAGCCAGGCCGTACCATAAACCTGCGCGGTCCAGGAATTACCCAAACATACTCATATTACATGATCGTTGTCTTATTCATTGTTTTGCCGATCGGCGCGGGCCCTCGCATCCCCCCCCTCATGTCAGTTCCCTCCTAGCTCGCCGCCTACTTCGCGGGAGCCTATGTGGACCTCCGCGGCCTCATCATACGCGTGATTCCGACCGGATGTTGTTCCGAGTGCGACCAGCCGTCGTGATTTTCGTTCCGTTGTCGTCCTGATGTCGTCCGAATGTCGACCACATCCGACGCACTCTGGACGCAATCCCAAAACCGCAAGGCATCCTGGGACCCTGTGAGGCTCCCATGAAGGACCACACAAGCACGGCGGTGCAACCCGACCCCCGCTCTGTTCCTGCAGCCCACGGGGACGTGATTCATTACCATGTGCGCGCCCCCCCCTCGGAGGCGCACGTCCTGACCGAACCGAAAGTGTTAACGGACTGGAACTCATCGCTACACGGGCGGCATGATCAAAACGCGACCGCCGCCGAGCATAGATTGTAAGACTTCGAATGAGCCTCGCCCCTCCTTCCTGCGGGGCCGTGCTCGCGGAGGGGCATCTTCCCCTTCCGCCCCCCGGCGTCAGACCCGGCGTGCCCTGGGACCAGGCGCTCAGAGAAGGAAGCTGTACCCATACCTCTGCCCTTCGCCCGTTTTCCCCGCTTTGGGCCTCCTGGGAGACCCTCGTCGCCACCGCTGGATTCGCCTCGAGATTCTGGTCAGAACGCACCCCGGGAGAGGTCTGGGGAGTAGCGGCATCGGTACCTTTGATTTCTTCAGGCGTTGCAGGAGCTCCAGCGGGAGTGGGCGGAGCACGATGCGCTCAACTCGCAGCTGCCGTCCTTCGCGGCGCCACCGCCCGCCGGCGCTGGAACCGCGGGGTCGATCGCGTTCATGTTCCTGACCATCCGACCCGCCGCCACTGGGGGAGCTTCGGTAGGGGAAAAACGACACAGACACACTTCATCGTCGACTCCCAGGAACATATGGGACAAAAATATGGGAAGTGGGGGGGGGGAAGACGAACATCCAATACCTATGGAGACATATGGGGAATCCTGCGACCTGTGCGTCTTCATCTGTGTGCCCCTGGGCCCCTTCAGAGCTGTGCTGCTTGCTCCCCTGGGGGTGGCCCGTCGGCTTCGACGCCCCTCGAGAGGGCGCCCGCCACCACTTGCCAAGCCACCCCGACGCAACCCGAAGGTCCCAGACCCACCCAAGGTGCGGTCCAGACAGAAATTTCTGGCGCTCCGCGCGGATTTCTTGGATCCGCGCTGGGCGCCCCCCCCCCTTGGCGGCGCCTCCGGCGCCGCCCCTGGCGCGCTCCGCGCGCCAGGGAGGGGGGTACAGCGCAGAGCCAAGAACTCCGTGCGGAGCGCCAGAAGTTCATGTCTGTGCCGTTTTTTCTCCTTCCAATCGTGTTTCCTCAGTGTTCTGGAGTCCCCCACCACCGTCACCCCCCACCATAAGTTGACGACCCCAACGGTGGCTTCGGGTTGGGTTGGGGCGGGTTGGTTTGGTAGTCGGACCGCAGGCACGCGGGCCTTCCTGCAGGAGGGTGAGGCTTACAGATCCCCCAGTTGTGGCTGGTCGGCATCGCCCCCCTTAACCAGGAGGACCTCCGGGAACCGGAACACGAGGTGCACATCGATGTTCGGACGTTTGCGGGCGCATGCTCTGCCGGCGCCCGGAGCCTCTCTCCGCAGACACGCCGACGGCGATGCGGGCCACGGCGAATGCAGGTGTCGGTATGTGTAGGTGCGGGTGGGTCGTGGCCAGCCCATTTGTAGGAAATGCGTACTCGTGTTCTCCTGCAATTTGTTCTGCGCGAGTTCGGCGTCGCAAATACCAGTTTCCCAGCATTGTCCGCCGCCATCGCTGTTAGCGTGGTCTTGGGTTCTCCGCACCCTCTTGGCAGCGCTGGGAGGGGGGTGCGCGGATCCAGTGTCCGGCGCCAGCGGAGAAACCGTTCGCGGGCGTCCGAGCGTTTATGTTTACGTCGATTTCTGGATCTCGAACTTCTGGATGGATTGGTTCGGGCGTGCCCCCTCGGACCAGTATGACATTGTTGTGCACAACGACCAGGGCGGTGACATCGGAAGGCTGAGGCAGCTATCTCGGCTGGTGGACCCGCCAACGAAGACTGGTTGGGCCACCAGCGGTCTGGTGCGTGCAACACTGCTGCTGCTGCGGGAGGCTCTTACAAAACCGTCCAACACCCACTTCGTGCTACTCTCGAACTCGGACATACCGCTTCTTTCTTTCAAGGACTTCTATGCTGATGTAACCTGCAGGCCCCTGTCGCGATTCAGCAGGTTTGGCCTCAACTGGGACGAAAGCCTTGGGAGAGACATATGGCAGCCCCCAAAAGGGCCGGAATGGCAAGGCTGCACTAAGCGTGGATGCCATGCGAAGGCTGACCAGTGGGCGATGTGGACGCGCGCGGATGCAGTTTTTTTCGCCGAGAAGAATTTCCTGAAGTTCTTGAAGCCATGTGTTTTGTTCGTAGACGAGCCGTACTTTATCCAGCTGATGCATCAGCACGACAGGGAGTACGAGAACAGGTGCGTCACGTACACCTCCTGGAAGTTTGGGACCGACTCGCCGGTCATCTTCGATGAGGTCGATCCCGCCACCTCCTCGGAGGCCAGGCGGGGCGGGTGCTGGTTCCTTCGCAAGGTGTCCCGGACCGCCACCCTGACCGCAGACTTCCGGCGCTCCATCGGCCTGCCCGTGGAGGGCAGGCCGCCTCCCTGAGGAGGCGAGGCGCCGCCCCAGCACCGCGGGCGCCCCGGGGCACAGCACGGGCCCCCAGAAGCCACCGCAGGAGCCACCCCACTCTCCCTCTCTCCTCTCTCCTCTCCTCTCTTCTCCCTGCTTCCTTCCTCCTGCTCTTTCCTCTCTTCTCCCTCCCTCCTCCTCACGTCCGCCCACCCCCCTCTGCCTACTGGCTTCCGCTCGCTGGGCTCCGTGGTCCACCATGGCACTCTTTGACCTCCTGGGAGCATCCGGGGGGCTTCCTGGAAGCAACTGGCCCCGAGTCCCCCCCCCCTTCTCTCATTGCTCCTCCCGCCTCCCCCAAGAGAGGGACAAAGACCCCGCTGGCATTTTTGTTGCTTCTTCCTTGCAGCTCTGGTCGACATCAAGCAGGTCGACGGCGAGTGAGGGGGGGAATTTAGAAGCAGAAGGCCTTCTCAGAAGGCTCGGAAGTCCCCCCGCCTTCAAAGAAGTGTTCTAAGTCTTCCCCGAAAACACAACACTCAGAAGGCGCGAGCGCTTCTGAGAAGTCCCGCCGCCTTCTGAGAAGGCCTTTTCCTTCTCACTTTTTTCCTTCGCTCGCCGCCGAGCAGGTCTGCCCTGTTCGATTCCTTCTGCGGGTGGTTGGTTCTCCCCCCCGCACGATGCCCGCGGGAGTTCGCACAGAACCGGCCACCACCATGCCCGGCGGTGGCCATGAGCAGCCCCCCCTCCCGAAGGGACCGAGGCGGATGAAGAGGGGGAGGAGGAGGAGGAGGAGGAAGAGGAGCAGGAGGAGGAGGAGGAGGTGGAGGAGGGTCAGTAGTAGGAGGAAGGTCAGTAGGAGGAGGAGGACGATGGTGATGACGATGACGATGACGATGATGATGATGATGATGATGATGATGATGATGATGATGATGATGATGATGATGATGATGATGATGATGATGATGAGGATGAGGATGATGATGATGATGATGCTGATGCTGATGCTGATGCTGATGCTGATGCTGATGCTGATGCTGATGCTGATGCTGATGCTGATGATGATGATGATGATGCTGATGATGATGATGATGATGATGATGATGATGGTGTTGGTGGTGGTGGTGATGGATCTGTGTACAGGGTAGTGAGTGCCAGGAGGGGGGCTGTGAAGCGTGCCTTCCGCAACCGTTGTGGCTCAAGGTCTCTCTTGTGTGGATGAGTCTCCTCACGGCCTATATCCACGGTGTAGTCACCAACTTGATCGGCACCTGGCTCGGCCATTGGGTGGCGCCGCGCCCCCTGCATTGCCATTGTTCGGGCTCGGCGGTGGAGCCTGGGCTGATCGAGCTGCTGCAGTCACAGCTCAACAGGTGCGGGCCATCGGACCTCGCCCCAGTGTGTGCTGTCTGCCCCGTCTGCCCGGCGCCGGGCTGGGGGACAGGCGACGTGCTGCTCGCAGGGCTGGTGGGGCTGATCGTGGGCGCGGCGTTCACCACTTGCTGGGCAGGCTCGGGCCTGCCGAAGCGGCGTGTGAGTGCCGAGCCATGGACTCCACGCAGCGGGGGTATCGTCGAGACGCCTGGCCCCATCGTCACCCCGATCGCCGACGGGACGCCACCAGGGCCCGTGAAGGGCAAGGGCAAGCTCGGCGTCGTCGTGCAAGCCTAAGATGGCCTTCCTGGAGTCTGGTTCGTCGGCCTACCTGTGCTACGTCGGGGATGACTTGTATCATGATCGGATCATCCTGAGCTGGGTGGCAGCGAGCGAGTATGTAGTTGTTTCGCCTGACCTGGACATTTTTATCGAACAGATCGACGCAGCCAATGCCGACCTGCAAGGGTTACGGCTGGGCAGTGCGGATGGTCGCCTTCCCTTCGGGATGGGCGGCATGCAGGTCTACCGCTTCCAGGTGCGACCTGCCGGCGCTGACCTGACGCAGCCCCTTGCCGAGGGCGAGCGCCACGCGCAGGTCGAGCGGGCGTCACGCGGGTTGGCCGCGCCGCCTGGAGCCGCGGCCCGTGCTGGCCCGGGGGGGGTGGCCCCGGTGGCTGTCCCGACGCCACTGCCCGTGGCGGTGCCGCCCGCCCCTGGCGTGGCCGCGGCGCCGCCCCCACCCCGCCTGGCGGGGCCCGCAGGGGCGTGGGTGCTGGACGAGCCCGTGGACACCTTCGTGCTCGGGCAAGAGGTGCCGCTGCCGCCGACGGCGCTAGACGTGGGGGGCCGGGCCTTCGTGACCGTGAACGGGGAGATCGTGTCGCTCTCCAGGGTCGCGCCAGGCACGGACCTCGCCGCCTGGGGCCTGAGTCGCCAGCAGGTGCTGCTGAAGGGCGACCCGAGCCTGCTGCCACGGCCGTGCTCTCCGACTCCCGTCGCCTTTGCCACAGACGCTGCCCTGGTCGTGCGGGATCCCAGTGTGCCGCTGCGGACCAAGGGCCCTGGGACACTGCAGGACTCGGTGAATGAGATGTATCTGCGCTCGCTCGGGGGTTTCACCGTCGCCCACGATCGGTGGCTGATGGAGTCGAGAGTGCCTGCAGGATTGCGGTCGGGCCACGAACATCGAGTCCTGTGCCGTGCCCTCACCTTCGCGATGGAGTCGGACGGGCTCAACATCGCGAACCTATCGTGCTGCGAGTTTCTTAACCGACGGCGTATGTTGCTCGAGACGGCCCATCGGGCTGATCCTGAGAAGCCCGCGTTCGAGGACTCGCACATCTACATGGGCGAGGACGAGGAGGGCACGGGTGTCACAGTGACGCCCGCGCTTCGGGCGCACGTGGCGGCCGAGATGTCGAAGGAGTATGCGATCGAGAAGGAGAAGAGGAAGGCTCGAGAGGCCAAGGCGGAGGCAAAGTCGGCGGCGGCCCGGAAGAAGGTTCCGCCGCCGGCACGTCTCGGCCGTGGGAGGGGGGAAGGATACGTTCCTCTCTGGCGACCCCCCTCCCGTCACTCACACCAGCCAGACGCGCCGAGACCGCTGGCGGTGGGGGGATGCGCAACGCCGTGCCGCTCCGCCGACAGAACATGTGGGCCCGCGACCTCTCGGTGGACCGCATGAACTTTTTCCTCTACCCTCCGTCGGTTCAGAGGGGTTGACGTGGGAGGGCGTCGGGGCGTCCAGGACGGCCCGCCGCCGCAGCACGTATCGCCGGCTGGCCCTAGACGATGCAAATGACATGGTGACCGCGCTCAATGCCCTCTACGGCTGCGAGCGCGACGCGGTGGGGCCGGCGAGCCCAGCGCAGTCCTCGGCGCACCGACACCTACTGCACACCGCCAGGGAGGCCCGGCATAATTTTGATCAACTTCTACCCCGCGAAGCTGCGGCTCAGCTTCTGGGACCTCGTACCGATTATGGAGGTGATGGCTGTGCAGTGCAACCATGTGACCCTGAACGGCTGTCTCTCCCCCCCCCTGGGCGGGGCCCAGTGGACACCGCGAGGGTGCTGGACGTGGAGGCTCGGAAGGTGCTGACCAGCTTCGAAGACCTCATCCTCGCGAGCCCCGATGTCGTCTCCGAGCGTAGGGGGCGCACTCCCTCGCGTCCCTACTTTGACGTCGCACTGCGGGCTGACAAGAAGGCCTATGTGGATTTCCTCCGGCGCCTGATGGATCGACGACTACTTGGAGTGGCGCCGGAGTCGCTGAGTCTTGTGACCCCCTTCTTCGTGGCCAAGAAGAATGGGAAGCAGAGGCTCGTGCTGGACTGCCGGCTCACCAATATCCTCTTCGCCCACGCCCCCACCGTCGAGATCGGGAGCTCCGAGGCGATGAGCGCGATCGAGCTGGAGCCCGGCCAGGAGTTGTACGCTGCCTCGGCGGACATCGAGGCCTGTTTCTACCAGTGCGGCGGCGTCGGGAGGCTGAGTAGCTATTTCTGCTTGCCCTCGGTGCCTGTCGAGGTGGCCCTCGAGCTCGGCCTGGCCGTGGACGCGCGCGGCCAGGAGTTCACTGGGCGGGAGAGGGTCCACCCGTGCATTGTTGTGCTCCCCATGGGCTGGAGCTGGAGCTTCTGGTTGGTGCAGCGAATCCACCTGGAGATGCTGCGCCGTGCCGCGGTCCCCGACGACAGGATCGCCCTGGGAGCCTGGCCGCTGCCGTCCTTGACCTCAGGCCCCGTGGAGCTGCCCTACTCAGACCACATCAACGTGCTGGGGGTACGGGCTGAGGAGGTCACCGAGCTGAGGGATCGTGTCGTGGCCCGTTTTTCCGAGGAGGGCTTCAGCATGCACGAGATCTCAGATACCAGCGTACACTCGACCATCCTGGGGGCCGACGTGGGGGGCCATCCGCCCGTCACCAGGCGCACCGGGCAGAAGCTGTGGTTGCTCAGAGGTGCGCTGCAGTGGCTAGCGAGCGGCCCCATCGTGACTGGCCGCCAGGTTGAAGTGGTGGTCGGACATTGTGTCGCCGCAGCGCTTTTCAATTGAGCAGGGATGTCCGTCCCCCGTGCTCTATATGATTTTATTCGTGATCGTTACATGCGGCCTTGTCGACTCTGGCGCTCTTGCCGGTGCGAGGCATGGATTTTCTCCGCCGTTGCAGTGCTGCTGGGGAGCCAGCTTGACAGGCCATGGTCGTCGACCGTGACGGCCACCGACGCCTCCACGACGGGGTTCGGAGTGTGTGATGAAAAATTGGATATTTCGGAAGTCTCTGAGCTTGGAAGGTGGCATGAGAAGTGGAGGTTCAAACGTCTCCAACCCGAAGAATGGGCCCCCCGAAAGAGAGCCCTCGATGATCTCCCTGAGATCACCGACCCTGCTACCGTCCTCACCAACAATGTCATCGATGGGTGGGCCAAGGTCGCGGGGTTCCCAGAGGTCCCTCGTCATGTGCCACACAAAGAGGGGTGGAGGGTGGTCTACAAGGGTCCGTATCGCTACATCGAACACATCGGGCTGAAGGAGGGGAGGCCTATGCTATGGGCTCTACGTCGTCTCGCAAAGGACCCTTCGCACCATCATCATCGTATCTTCATTCTGCTCGACAATTTCGGCGTCTGCTGCTGCTTCGATAGGGGCCGATCGCCGTCATACTGTATGTTACAACTCAACCGTCGCCTTGCGGCTCTAACCCTGGCCACCAACATCGGGCCTCACTTTCGGTGGATACCGTCGGAATGGCAGCCAGCCGCCGAAGCCTCCAGGACGTTCGAGGGCCTCTCTCTGGTGCATGCTGGGCCCGCTGAGCGTGGCTGGGCGCGGCACCTTCGCGGAGGAGCCGCTGCGCAACTCGGACCGCCTGCCCGTGCCGACCTGGGGGCCGAGGCCCAAGAGGTGCCGCCTGGCGACCGCCGCTGTGGCCGATGGGGCTGGCGCGCAGGCCGAGCGGCCTGGAGGCCGGGTCGGCCCCGGCCAAGAGGCCCGCGGCCTGCCGCGAGCCCGCCGCCAGCGCCGCCTCCCGCGCGGCGCGGGCGCGGCCAGCGGCCCACGCCCCGGCGCCGCCGCCCCAGCTGCACGCTCGGCTGGCCAAGGCCCTGGAGCCCAACCGGAGCAGCCCCGCCTCGCCCATGGCGCCCTCCAGGTGCGAGCTGGCCGCGGCGGCCGACGCGACGCGCGTCGGCTACAAGGCGTACTCCGATGCGTTTCAGGTGTTCCTCGCCGAGGAGGGGGGGGTGCCGTCGACCATCGAGGACATGGAGGTTCGGGTGCTGCAGTTCCTCGACCTCATGCTGGAGGCGGAGTGTACCCGGGCCGACGCGCCCATCCTTGTCGCAGCGGTCAAGGGCGCCTACCCGTGGTGCACGGGCTCTCAGACGATGCCGCGCGTGAGCCGTGGGTTTCGAGGCTACGCCAAGCGCCGACCCCCTGCATCTCGCGCCCCCGTGCCTCGGGAACTCCTCGGCGCTGTCGTGTCCGAGGTGCTGGCGCGGGGGCAGAGGGACTGTGCACTCCAGGTGGCATCGACCTTCTTCACCTACATCCGCCCAGGAGCCCTTCGGAAGCTACAAGTACAGCAGCTGCTGGCCCCCTCGAGGGCCTCGGGACAGTTGCAGTGCTGGGGCCTGATCCTCGCCCCGACCCAGATGGATGCGAGCATGCCAGGCGATCCGAGGGGCTCCCACCGAGAGCTCACCAAGACGGGCACCTCGGACGAGACCGTGATCATAGACCACCCAGTCTGGCTCGGCGAGTGCCTGGCGGCTCATGTCCGGGGGAGGGCGCCGACCGACCTGATCTTCCCCACCCCCGGCGCGTTCGTGGCGGCCCAGTTCGGAGTCGCAGCGAGGAGGCGCGGCCTCCCCCGGGTCTGCCTCTACCAGCTGCGACACGGGGGTGCGTCGGACGACGTCCTCCCAGGCTGGCGGGATCGGAAGACCGTGAAGGCTCGGGGCCACTGGAGGACGGACTCGTCCCTGAACATGTACGGGAAGCCCGGCGCCGTGCACCAGCTCCTCAATGCCATGACTCCTGCCTCGAGGGACTTCGGCCGCCAGATGTTCGAGGTGATGGGGTCGTTGTTCGAGCGGACCGTCGCCGCGGAGACCATCCCCAAGTGAATCATGCCCGCTCTTTTTCGGCGTGGGGTGACTGTGGCCCACGTGGCGGCCTCGTCCTCGCCCCGTCTGTCCCTCGGCCAGGTTGGGTCGTGGCTGAGCTGATGGCAGGCAGTCGCGGCATAAGCACTGCCTGCAAGAGCGTGGGCTTCCTTTCGCGCAGCTGGGAGCTGGCCGATTCCCCGCTGGACGATTGCTTGCATAGAGATGTCTCGAGGCGCCTGCTCGAAGCTGCCTCCCATAATGTTCTTGCTATGTGCTGGGTCGGCCTTGTGTGCACGTCCTGGTCCCGCGCTAGGCGGAACCGGTCGGGCAAAAAAGGCTGGCCAGCACCGATTCGGGACCGTGAGCACCTACTTGGCCTCCCCGAGCTTCCCCCCAATGATTTTCGGAAGGTCCAGGATGGCTACAAACAGGCTAAGTGGGCCGCCGAACTTTTCGATGCCCTCTCGCGTCTAGGCGTGCCGTGCGTGATCGAGAATCCCGCCTCAAGCATGTTGTGGGAGCTCCCGGGATTTAAACGTTTGCTAGATAAGTATAACTCTGTCCAGATAGACTACTGTGCTTTCGGCACACCGTACAGAAAGCGCACAACCCTGTTGTTCTCCCACCTGCCTCTGGAGGGGCTCGCTGGGGCCCTCTGCGCGGGGAGGGGTGGGCACTGCTCGTTCTCTGGCCAGCCTCACAATGAGATCGCAGGGCGCACCCTGGACAACAAACAGCTGTGGCCCAAGGTCGCGTCTGCCTACCCTCCCCAGTTTTGTCTCCACATAGGCCAACTCCTGAGTCGTTGGTGCCCCACCCACCCGCCCAGAACATGATATGGGTAAGGGTGTGTCTTGAAACGGGCAACGTCCGCAGATTGCGCAATCGTGTGATTTAAAACCCCTTTAAATCGTCAGAGCAAGCCGTGCTGCGCCTGCTGCAAAGAATGTGCCCCTCCGCCCACACTCATGGATCTGTGTACAGGGTAGTGAGTGCCAGGAGGGGGGCTGTGAAGCGTGCCTTGCGCAACCGTTGTGGCTGCAGGTCTCTCTTGTGTGGCCCGCCCTTTTCCCACCCTCTTCCACGGTGTGTCTTGAAACGGACAAGGTCCGCAGATTGCGCAATCGTGTGATTCAAAGTTTAAATCGTTCGAGCAAGCCGTGCTGCGTCTGCTGCAAAGAATGTCACCCTCCGCCCACACTCATTATGATGATGATGATGATGCTGATGCTGATGCTGATGCTGCTGATGATGATGATGATGACGACGACGAGGTTGTTGTTGTTGTTGATGATTATGCTGATGCTGATGCTGCTGTTGATGATGATGATGATGATGATGATGATGATGATGATGATGATGATGATGATGATGATGATGATGATGATGATGATGATGATGATGATGATGATGATGATGATTCGTAAGGGCTTTGCCCCCTGCCGCCGGCCCCCTCTCTCGGAGAATGGGCCATGGAAGAGCGAAGTGATGAGGTCTGGGCGCCGCCGTGAAGCAGTGTCGGGCCTTGTTTGTTTGCCGACCCTGACCCTACGGATTTGCGTGAGGGCTGCCGCCGAATTTCAGAAATGTGGCAAATCCCTTCTGTTTTTGGACCCTGACCCTACGGATTTGTGTGAGGGGTGCCGTCGGATTTCAGACATGTGGCACATCCCATGTGTTTTTGGACCCTGACCCTGCCGATCTGCATGAGGGGTGCCGCCGAATTTCAGAAATGTGGCAAATCCCTGATGTTTTTGGAACCTGGCCCTGCCGATTTGCTTGAGGGGTGCCACCGAATGTCAGACACGTGGCAAATCCCTTGTGTGTTTGGACCCTGACCCCGCCGGTCAGCGTGAGGGGTGCCACCGGATTTCAGAAATGTGGCAAATCCTATGTGTGTTTTGCACCCTGACCCCGCCTATCAGCGTGAGGGGTGCCACCGAATTTCAGAAATGTTGCAAATCCCTTGTGTTTCTGGACCCTGACCCCGCCGATCTGCGTGAGGGGTGCGCCCGAATGTCAGAAATGTAGCAAAATCCTTTGTGTTTTCGCACCCTGACCCTGCCGATTTGCGTGAGTGGTGCGAACGAACGTCAGAAATGTGGCAAATCTCTGTGTTTTTGGACCCTGACCCCGCCGATCTGCGCGAGGGGTGCGACCGAATGTCAGAAATGTGGCAAAAACTTTTGTGTTTTTGGACCCTGACCCCGCCGATCTGCGTGAGGGGTGCGAGCGAATGTCAGAAATGTGGCAAAATCCTTTGTGTTTTTGCACCCTGACCCTGCCGATTTGCGTGAGGGGTGCGAGCGAATGTCAGAAATGTGGCAAATCCCCTGTGTTTTTGGACCCTGACCCCGCCGATCTGCGTGAGGGGTGCGCCCGAATGTCAGACATGTGGCAAATCCCTTGTGTGTTTGGACCCTGACCCCTCCGATCTGCGTGAGGGATGCCACCGCATGTCAGAACTGTGGCAAATCCTTTGTGTTTCTAGACCCTGTGTAAATATTGATCCAAATCTCTCCACCCACAACCTCTTGATGCAAGAAGAAACAGGCAGATGATAGGGTATCTTATACCGAATTAAACTCAGCGTTCGATAGGTGCGTCCACCCTCCCGCCTCAGCTGGGCGGGTCCAAGCCAGAAATGGCACTAGTGAACAAGAGAGTGCAAGCATGAGCGAGCGAGAGCAATAACATAGATAATTCTCAACATCATCCTATAATTCACATCCTTGCTAATATAACTTTCACACCGGAAAAGGGATTGTTGCTAAAGCATGCCTCGGCAAATTCTGCAGCAAGCTTTTAGACTGTTCCATAATATTATCGGCTCGAACGATCAAACTATCGTCCGTGCACCACGCAACAGATATCAAAGAAAAGAAATCCAATATTCTCTGCTCGAACGGTCAAACTACCGTCCGTGTATCAAACAATAGATATTAAGATAACATAAATCAACGCACTGAGCAACATATACTAAGATAAAGAAATCCACGTACTGAGCAACATATAAAATCTTTACCTGAGGTCTGCGCACCGAGCAACAGATATCAATATATGAAATCTTTACCTGAGCTCTTGAGGGGGTGCTTTCACTCCTCATCTGTACATGGTGACCAAACATCACTCATCATCTGAAATTTGGTAACCCAGATCACTCATCATCTGACCATGGTTCACATCTGAGCCACTGCCTTGGCTGGCTCCAAGATATCGTCACATATATAGTGGTGAGGATCAGCGTACACGCACTGCTGACTTGATGATGCTGTATGCAATGTAAACCTTGATGCTCGGGTCGAGATTATAACTCCTGCTCTCGTCTGCATCCAGCTTGAGACACCGCCCTAGGCAATTTGCGTAGTGCCTGTCCTTCGTATAGATCGTCTCATAGTTGTCGCCCTCGTACTTGCCACTCCTGATTATCGTCGGACCCATGGTCTCCAGCCACTGCCTCAGTAGAGCACTATCTCCCAGCATAATTGGTCCATCTCCCATGATCTCATCATCGTAGGTGTCTGGATCGGCTCGTGCTGCGAGTGTTGTCGTCGTAGCTTTTGGCGTAGCCTTCGCTGTCCTGGATTTGACTTTGACCAGCTTCTCGGGCAACTCCGGCTTGAACAGGTTGTCGCTGCTTGAACTATCCGCCTCCATCGGATCAAACATGTCCTCGCCGTCTTTCTGCTTAGGCTGCACTACGTAAATGAAAATGATGATACCCGCGATGATAGAGACTACTGTCACCACCGTAGGAGACATCGAAAGACAAACTCCATACACTGCAAGTGCACAAAGTTGAAACATAACTACAACTTGGTCAGGTATCTGGATGGTTCTCTGCGCGCCACTCCTCTCCATCGGGTAGTTGTCCGTTAGCTCTTCCGTGTAGAATGCCTCGACGTAGTCCTCGTCTTGGACCTCGTCCTTGTCGTCGTAGAAGCACTCGTCCACGTAGTTGTACGTCTCCACCGGCCACGTAGACATCTCCTCGTCGTCCTTCCCGGTGTCATCGTACAGCTCCTGCTTGACGTACTTGGCCATCTTCGCGTTCAGCTCGTCTACCTCCTTGTTGGCTGCCACCTTCTCTGGTCCAACAAGCTTTCGTCCGCGCATTGTTGGTGCTCTGTCATCAGGCCCAAGAGTCCTCGCGTAGCCTCCTGGAAGTACTTTCGTCAAACAGTCCGCTAGCATCTGCTCACTCTTGACCCACTTGATGCTGACCTCCTTGAGTGACTGCCGCAATATAGCAGCTTCCAAAGAAAGAATCCTGTCCGCCATAGAAATCTTCTCCTTTGCGATCGTGTCGTATAGGCTCTTGCAGTCGGTCACCGAAATGCATTTCACCGGGCAGGTGTCGTGCACAATCTCGGTCATGTCCATCTCCGGGTACAGGATCTCCGCCAGGGTCGACCTCGTCCATATCAGCATGTCCACTGAATCCGCACATGAGCAGGCCTCCGCAGATAGAGTAGATCGCACCACTCGTTGAATCTTGGAAGACTGCCACCCAATGCAGTGTACCTTGTACTTGTTACTGTGGTCCTCGTTGATCTTCTGGTCGCCCAGCACGATGAAGTGTCCGCGTTGTGATCTGTGCTTCGGCAGATTGTCGAAAGCACTGTCGGTGACATTGATCACCATAGTCTTCCACAGGTTCATGCCTGCTGAGAACCTAATCAGCAAGTCAGCCCGCCTGTGGATCCTCCTGATGGCCGCGTTGCCGTCCTGTAGGTACTTCACCGTCGGAGCTCCCAGCGTAGATGCCGGTCGGGATGCCTCGAAGTCCTCCTCGAAGCATATCATTCGCGCAGCCCGTTGCAGTTGTCCAACTACCATTCGTAGTCCGCGATGCTCTGCATGGGTCAAGGCGCTATCTGGTGCCTTGCTGCGCTCTCTGGAGATACGTACAGTCTGCATCGACTTCACGTAGGCCTCCATGGTGACGTTGATGCTGCCGTCCTTGTCCTGCTTGTAGGCCCGGCCACAGAACGTCGCCTGCTGTTTCCTTGCGCA